CCACCCCCACCCCCTAACTGTTAGTGTGCACCAAAATGACACGGTCAGTGATTCTATTAAATCAAATTGTCCATCAACATTAACTCAAAGTTAGGAATGAGAAAATGAAGCTTTACAAATTTGAACATAAAGCGTAAATTCTACTTCTCCTGAGAAAACTGGATAGTCCAGAGTTAGTGAATGCCCATCTTTCACACTCCTTCCGTTTCATCACTCAGATAGCAGGAGATGATTAAAATTTGTTGTAGTAATCCATTTATGCAAGCCTTACAATTGCCTCAAAATTTTACAATCCATCCAATTCAGTTAGTACGCAAGCTAAAGCCAAAGGGAGAGAAGTAATTACAGCTTAAAGAAGATGATTTATTACTGGGAGGAATGAAAATGATAAATTACAATAGATGGGAAATCTGAAGGGGAACAAAAGGCGTTTAGTCTGAGTAGTATGAATGATTTAGTGCATCCACCCGCTACTCGTAAATAGTAACCCCCCCCCCCCAAACAGAAAGATGGAATATTACTATCTGCCTGTTAATAATTATGGGAAGGCAGAAATTAGACGCAGTAATATTTATATTATACGGGGTGTGCGATAGACTTACCTCCACGTGGTGGATCCTGGGCAACGTATATTCATACGACAAAAAAGTTTATTAACGGGCAGTTGACTTCACACTTCAAACTACCATCACCTCACTCTATGACATATTCGACTATTTCCACAGTACTCACCTCACCCTTTTTCTACTTTTGTGTTTTTCTCTTACATCTTTGAAACACTCTTCTGTACCCCCCCTCCCGACTTTTTCAATTTGATGTTCCTTCCCCTCTGTGAAATTTGAAGTCAACTAAAGGGCTAATGATAACCATCAAGACGCCTGCCATTTGATATAAATAAATAACCCACCAGTGTAGTTGGACAGTCTTTCCTTGATCGTGAGCTGTCGCTTCATCATTGCTCTCATTAGATTGTCATCGAACTCCTGATTTCAGACTTGCCAGATGGAAATGGCAACAGCGGCACCACCTTTGGGTGCTCTTATTCATTCAATCGTACTTAACTTTCTTGCAACGATAAGGATGACTGTTAGTGTTCAAGAGATATTCACTGGGTTCACTAGTTCAATGCAGAAACCTCGAGTCGGGAATGGTTGGGCAGAGTGCGGTGCAGCCGCGGTTCAATTAACCGGTATCCCACACGTTAACTACACTCCAATTTTAAGCTGACTAGAATATTCTGTAATTTGTAAAAAAATTCTCTCTTATCTCTCCTTTAGTTACTTAAAGAATTTTGATGTAACCTTCCATAGACAACCCACACCTTCGCGAGTTTTTTGTTTTAATTGAGCTATCTACTTCCTATTTATTAACTTTTAAATGCATAACTATAGATTCAATAGTGGGGTGTACGATAAACTTACCTCCACGTGATGCACCCTGGGAAACGTATACTCATACGGCAAAAAGTCTATTAACCGGCACCTGACTTCTGACTTCAAACTAGCATGACCCCACTGTATGTCATATTCGATTACTTCCACAGTACTCACCTTTGTATCTGCCTATTTTGCATCTTTGAAACACTCTTCTGTTTCCCCCCCCCCCCCTCTCGACTTTTTCACTTTGATGTTCCTCCCCTCTGTGAAGCCTGAAGTCAACTAAATGGCTAATGATAACTATCAGAATGCCTGCCATTTGAAATAAATAAAATAGATGCAAGAGTGCCTTTATTCAAATACTCGATTAATTTTTTGAACTCATTAATTTTAATCGCCACGAATCAAACTGAATTTTATCGTGCGCTTTTTTTCCAGCTAATTTCCATATAAGTAGTATTTGATTTCCTTCTTTCCACAACACAACATCCAAATAAGGTATACACGGAACTGATCAGTAATTCCGATATTTCTTTCCTTAGAGCAGCAAAGTTTTGCAACGTCTTTCATTTCATCCTGAAGCAATTTTGGATTTTCAATTATGCCTGTGGTAAAAATTGATTGATTTATGTAGAAAGTTATTGAAAATATGCGTGCCATTAGTATATATCACTTTCTTTGAGAACCTACAGCCATTTCACTAATGGAAGCAAGTATTTTGCACTACAATCAAAGTATGCTCATAAAATTGTATACTATGACTAATCGTTAATTACATTATTTTGGGTGCTTTACCGATAAAATGTTAGCAAAGTAGGTCTCTTGAATTAAAAATTTGTGGGTAACCTAATGTTATATCAAGATGTATTTATTTATAACAAATGGCAGGCGTTTTGATAGTTATCATTAGCCCTTTAGTTGACTTTTGGGCTTCACAGAAAGGAAGAGGAACATCAAAGTGGGAAAAAGTCGAGAGGGGGACCGAATAATGATTCACAGACGTAAAAGAGACAGACAGACACAAAGGTAGAAGAAAGGTGAGGTGAGTACCGTGTTTAGTCGAATATGAAATGCAGTGGGGTCTTGGTAGTTTGAAGTCAGAAGTCAACTGCCGATTAATAGACTTTTTTGCCGTATAAGTATACGTTGCCCAGGGTGCACCACGCGGAGGTAAGTCTATCGCACACTCCGTATTGGGAAGTAATTAGCAAGACAATACGAATTTCTCCGAATCAGTTTCAAGACTTTTTTCCCGTTTACTCTCCACTAGTTGGGTGATAAAAGAAGAGAACAATTATTTAC